CTTAGTGATGCAGCGTCAAAACTAACATGGCTCGCTTCGGTCTCCGGGGATCCTTCTCCCAACGCCGGATGGGTCTTGATTTCCCTTCCTGATAAATCATCATCTCGAGAGAGAAACGTGTTGAATCTCGCTTGGCCAAGTGAATGTAACGCGCCTTCTGATCCCCCGTCATTGTCTGGAAGCGTAAACAGAACTTTAGATATGGTTGATCACTAGACGAATGTATTCGCGGTTTACGGATCGAATTGTGTTAGCCACAACATTTAATTTAATTTGAACATCGTCAAGTCTCAACCTACTGTCAACTGTATCCCAACGGGGTCACAATTACAGAACATCAATATTTCTCTGGGAATACCCCGAAGTTGAATGAATTTTCAATTCTTCACAATTCAACGTAAAATGTACCATTAACGAACTAAATTACAGTATTAGACGAAGCAGGTTATCAACGCCGTACATTTTTCCATTCTAAAAAGAATCTGCTTAATTTTAAGTTCCCCCAGAAACTTTCTGTTTTCAATGCTTTCAATAAAGACTCTGTTATAACCAAGCAGTAATGGCAAAAAATCTGAACAAAATAAATTTTCCAGTAATTTCTTGATTAATCAAATGCTTTCCTGCTGCAGTGCTCAAGTGTAAAAATTTTACCGGTGCATTAAATTAAGATTCCATTCTATCGAATAACCATTATCAACAAATGGACTAACCGGGGATAAATTGTGTCCAGGAAAAATTTTTACCGAACAGTTGACATGAATTCAATCTCTTGTCGTATCCCGGTTTTTCCCATCACAAATTCTGCATTTCAAAATTTTGAACAGCTCGGAGACAAGGCTGCATATTTTATATGTCTACCTAAATGGCTTCAAACATTATTAATGAAAAAACCTAATTTTCCGGTTATTTTACAGGTATACATACTAAGATATTAATCAAAGCAAATGAAAACAATTTTGGCTCTTGAATCAGCACATCCAAGAATTTACCTTGGTAAAAATTTCAGGTACAGAATATGGCACTGAGTTTGCCGGAAAAATGGTGACTAAAAATTGAACTTGGGTCTAACTATGCAGGGCTCTGATCAGAAGAAAATTTTTTACACTTTTTTTTAGATGATTTCGGAGTAAACAAATTTACCTTTTCAAATTTGATTTCAAGTTTCCAAAACTTTGTTATTGCAAAATCCTACAGATGAACACAAATTTGATAAGATGAAGAGACATTTGAATACAGTATCTATTTTACAGATCATCTTTTCATTACAAAATCCTCAGTACATCGAATTTTTTCACGTTCCTTGAAGTTCTCACAACTGATACTCGACCTGTACTACATGAAGCTTCGGCTTCTTACTTTCATTGTTACGTTGGATAACGACTTCACTTAACCTGAACACAACATTGCTTTACGCGCACCTTCCATCGGTCGTTGCACATCCTCGTGAATTGAGAAAAATCCAGTTTATCGTTCGGAAAACGATCTCTCAACTCCTCTCGACACGTTTGTAAATAATAAGCGTACGCTGACATCCTTCCAGCAGGTTTCTTCTTCTCTTCGTCTTCCAAGTCCTCAGTTTTTGAACTTCGAGATGCATTGGTCTTCATTTCTTCCCGGTTCACTGGGAGTAAAATTTCACTCTCCCATCGACAGAGCAGGTACCTATTGCAAGCCGGAAATGTACCGAACAGAAAAATAGCTTGATTCAAGCACATTAAACTAGGAAAGAAAGAAGCAGTAATGAGTAATACGAAACGAAGTTTCTTTTCATGTTGTATAAATTCATTCCACTCACATCCGAATACCGAGAGCAAAGGAAAATCGTCATTGTAGAGGCGAAAAGTAAATCCAAGACAAAGGGTCGGTCACATTTTCGTGTGAATCCAAACGGAACGTCAGCAGGAGAATCAAAATAACATCTTTCAAAAGAAGCTGGGTCAAGGAATAAGAATTCCACAAATATACAAAAACCTTTATATGCGTTTACCTTGTGGGATTAAGAATTGTACTCTGATCGCCACGTAAGACAGAATAAATAAGCAATGTCTAGCACGACGATTTGGCTCATCTCACATTACAAATTTCTGCACACGAAAACCTCAACCATACAAAATTAATAATAAAAAACAGTGATGAAAATAAGCAACTCAAAAAGGAAAAATGAACCCGAAGCGTCTCCGCGCACACAAATGACGGTTCTCCGAAGGTTCGAACAGGCAATCGTTTTGTTTTCTAGGAGATCGTTCGTCCGCATTGCTCAACGATCAAACGTTAGATCCCCATAAAAGCGGCTTTTTCAAAGGCCAGAAGCGTCCAGATTTAGGCTGCGGGCAATCTTACGACGAAAAGCCTTTATCTTTTTACTAACATCCCCTTCCAGTTTCGTCGCAGCTTGGAAGCGCTCCGAAGTATCCGGATAAAATATCCGACAGTTGCTAAATATCCGCACCAAGTCGGCAATGAAATCCTTGAGTTTAAGGTACTCTCCCTCGTTCAGCCTATCTTCAATCGTTTTCAAATCTAAATCGGAAAACATTCGGACATGAACGTTCAATCGTTAGATAAAAATGGCAAAATTGAGAAAGTAGGAACTCGAAAGATAATCAAAACAGTGAATCACGATTTAAACTCACCCATAGGCTCCGAAATAATTTTCTTATAAACCGGTTCCTTTTTGAAGTCCAATTCAAGAAAAGGATCGGCATGCTTCAATTTCTGCGGATATCAGAGAATCACGTCAGAATTTTTCAAAGCTTCAAAATACGCGTCAAATTTACTTTGATGTCGAGAATGAAAGCCTTCAGTTCGTCCAAAGTGTTTTGTTTCAACCTTGAGAAATTGACACTATTCAAAGGAGTCTTTGGTCCACACGAGGGACACAAATACCGTTTGATGTTTTCAGCTTCGCACGCCAAAATGCCCACACAAGTTCCATGGAGCCAATCCCCGCATTCATCACAACAGATGTAAAACCTATCATGAGAAAGAGATATTGCTTTTCATTACGAACTTCTTCGCGACACTCACAACACTGTCTTGTAGGTTAATTTCGCGTTTAGTTACTGTGCAGGGGGAAAGCCGATTGTTTATATTATGTTTCGAATTTTGACTGACACTCGGAGAAGTGAATGAAAATGGGTGGGTGTTGAATGGAGTAGGTTCAAAGACATTGCTGAAGCGAGAAAATCGTCAACAACAAAAACGATCACGACAGTTTTCAACGAAATGCTCAAGCGGAACCAAAATGTTAAAATAATTCGGAATGACTGGGCAGGAAGTACTGTAATTGTAAAAGCCAGTGACTCCAACTAACTCCAAGCCGATTTTCTTTTGCACTAGAGGAATTACAGCCTTAAAATTTATCAGAAGCGTCAAAAACTGTTCACGGATTAAAAATTATTTGACCCGTGTCAAGCAAATCAAGCACTTACTTCGTAGGCTCATAGGGTTTGCGACACGTGCAATAGACCTCATCCGACTCGGAATCCGCGTCCTGCTTCTTTTTTCCTTTTTTGACGTCTTTTTTCGACGAAGATTTCGCGGTATCCTTCAAAGCCGATTTCGACTTCACACTGTCTTTGGTACCTCCTCTCGACGCGACCGGAGTCGAATCTTTCTTTGCAGACTTAGCCTCGACTTTGGTTTGCTTTTGCGGCTTCTTCTCTGTTTTAATAAGAGGTGATGCCTTCGCAGATGTCAACATAGGCGACTTTCCCTTCGATTTGGAAGACACGGCTCCGTTTTGCACCGACTCAGTTTTCACCTTCTGTTTCGGCGTTCGAGGGTTGGGTGATGATTCAGGAACGCTGGTGTACTTTGCGGGCGGTTTTGTTTTTCGCGACGAAGTCGCGGGAGTGGGTTTTGTCTCGGGTTCTGATTCGTTCTCAGACTTGATTTTCTTGGTTGACTTCGGCGTTTTCGCATCCTTCTCCGGTACAGCCGGACTTTTCGATGCGACAGGCTTAGTTTCTTTGGCTTGACACTCGGGACATTTGTACTGTTTCATCGTGGTGGCCTGTGCAGGTGTAACATTTATGCAAGATCCATGATACCAATTCTCGCAGAAATCGCAGCCGATGTAAAACCTGAAACATAAATCGAAAGCAGAAACTTTAAACGTGAAATAATCGAAATTATTCAGGTAAACTGTCAATTAAATGAGAACTGAGCGGACTCCAAGCTCAATTTTCATGGGACATGAGCGAAAATAAATACTGCATAAAATCTCCAAAAGCTGAGCAAGTTATTCAAATTTAAAATTATTTTTTATCTCGTGTTCAGAGAAATACTACGGTACATTCAGGAATGAACATTCTGTCAAAAAAATGGAGGTCTCAAACTGATCCGTTTCCTTTTGGCACGAATGAACCAGACACATCTAATAATAACTCACTTCTGATTGTCATAAGGCGTTTTACACAAACAGAACAGCTCTTCCTTATTTCTTCCAGCTTTCTTGTCGCTGAAAGATTTAGATTTATCGTCGTCAGATTTTCTTTTGCGGCCAACTTTCTTGCGATATTTGGCAGCCAGGGCTTCGGTATTCTTCATCTTCGGAGCGGTAGCCTTCGTTTTACCGCGAATAGACCAATCAACGAGATTTGACTCTACACCACTCGCACTTGGAGAACTCTTCGGCGATAACTTTGGTTTCTTGAGAATTTCTCGGTCCGACTCGGATACCGACGGTTTTCTTTTTCGCCCATCCTTGGCAAGCTTGTTAAGTTTTTCGACGAACTTTTTGTCTTCCCGTCGTGGGCTTTTCGCAGTCGGTGGTTGTGGTGGTGGTGGTGACGAAATTCTGTGTCGCGGAGAAAAGCTGAGTTGCTTCTTTGCCGGGGAAGACACGGGTAATCTAGCTGCGCTTGGCTTCTTCTTCTCCTCGTCACTAGACATTTCCATGTCCAAAACTCTTTTCTATGAGAAAAACGAATCCTCTTAAGAGTACCGTTCATTAGAGACATTCCGAACTACAGTACTCAGGATTTCGATTTTTTTTTAATTCCCGACAAATTACGAGCACATCAATGGTGAACAACGAAATGAAAAACATACCTTCCATTGCATAAAGATCATTCGATTCAAGGAAAAATAAACTCACCGCATATTTCTTTTTCAAAGCGTAGTTCCACTGGCTTCGCTTTCTCACGATCTCTTTCCGCAGTTCATCGGTTTTAACGGCAAGCATTTCTCGATCAGGTTGCGAATTTCTGCAACAGCAAAAAATTAAAAGCATTACAGAGTTTCTGATGTGAGGATGTCCGAATTTGACACTGTTAGCAGGGTACGACACGCCATCCCGATTTTCAGCAAAAAGGCGGTTTCAAATCCCAGCTAGAATGTTTTCGCATCCCGTTTGAGGAGGAGGGAAGATAGAGAAGTTCCACACCTCCGACTAAAAGATGCTTTCGTTCTACAGAAACAAACCGCAACAGGCATGGTTACCCACTTGACTTTTTCCACCAGAACTCGCTTCCTCGGGGAGGGACTAGGTTCGGGCGCTTTACGTTTGGCGGCGACTTTCTTTGGCGTGCCCAGTTCACCGAAATGGTCGTAATCTTCATCCGATGTTTTTTGAACAGTCGCCATCGTCGCCGCGGCAACAGCGTCTTTCTCCGCTTGCATCTTCTGCATAGCATGCAATTTTTTCGCCATACCATCGCTGAGGTTTGACTGCTTCAATGCCGCTTGGATAGCTAGTAAATGAAATACAGTTACAGCATTGTGCTGATTGGCTTCATTCCGCCCTTCGCGCTTGCGCGCGACCGGCAGATGTCACCTCAATCTTTAAATAGACCAAGACAACTTCTTGAAATTCGATTGACATTTACGAAACAGAATAAGATCACGGACTCGAGATATGGGGTTTCTTACAGGATCGAAAAATGTTTCAAGAAACGATAAAATTGTCCGTCATTGAGATTACAAGAGTAAGTCTTCAGTACATCCGACAGGCTATGGGATACACTAGCCGTGGCACATATTTTCGCTTCATTTAGAACATCGTTCAGTATGAAATTACTTCAGCACGAATCACAGAGCTCGGATTAATGTTCAGCGAACTCACTTTGTTTTACATAGTCCGACGTAACGATGAATTCTCTCGAGTCCATCGGCATGTCAACAACCGGCGGCATAAGTTCCGAGGCACGGGGTTGGTGCTCAACAACATCAGGTACAAAATGATCCTGACGTTTCGAGCTGCCAAACGGATGATCTTCGCCGAGTGAGCCTCTCTTCTGGATCTGGGGACGCTTTGGTTTCTGGCGCTAAACGTCATCAGAAAATGCATCCACAAAATATAAACAAATTCAATATCGGGACATTAGCATTCATTACTTACATTTCGAACCGGAAAGCGCGTAATGGACTCGAGTGCGGCTTGGAGATCATTTTCATCAACGCAAGCTTGTGCTTGATTATCATCTTCACTCACTCCAGGTATTTTTTTACGTGTGGCTTCGGATAACAACGGGTTCGTCTGTCCACCAGTCGACGGCCGCAGAACTTGCGCAGGTGGCAATTGAATATAAATCGATTGATTTGTGTTTTGTACTGCAAGAAAAAAGTTATTGGATCCATCAAGTAAAATTCACGTAATACGAATAAAATACAAATTACCTGTTTTCATTGAATCGGGCAGCAAGGCACGGAGAGCGATTTTCTGCTGCGCTGTGAGGGTTACGTCACAAAGAACGGTGGGCTCATTCGGTCCTGGAACTATTCTCACGATCGGCTGAAATACATGAAAAAGGCATGTGAAAATAATTCAATAAAGACACAAAAAAACAACAAAAGACAAACTCTTCCTTTAGACAGTAACGAAAACCGGAAAATCTCGAAGATTCATCGTATTTGCAAAAGCAATTTCGTGAAACGGATGTGAAACTACAGTAAAATCTGATCACAGCAAATCTTGGTATAAAGAATCATTAAGTAAACAGAATTTATTTTTCAGGTCCCCGTCCAATAGCAAAAATGTTATTCAAATCGCTTTGGAAAGAATTTATTGTAGCGTTTTTCCTGGTCTCGACAGCTTCGTTGTACCGAGATTTTACTGCATTAAAGAAGTAGAAACGATGTGGCAGGCCCTACAAAATAAAAACTGAAGAAATCAAACAAAATTAAAATAAGAGCTTTCTTTTCATGACATTCATAGCGGCAGATCCACGAGACAAACGACGTAGAACCATTTGAAAGACTGGAAAAATACATAAACAAAACATGTCGAAGTAAAAGAATTCAAACTTACCCCAGTCTGCTTGTTCCTGCTTCTGGCTTTGGACTTGATCGCGGCAAATCCGTGGTCACCGCGAGAAAATGACGATTGTGAATTCGGCACTTCCCGGTGGATATTCAATGGCGAGTTCTGACTCAGTCCGGACATGGTCAACAAGGACTGCTGCGACTCGTCCACCAGTTGTTCCGTTCCAACCGATAAAAGCTCTTCACCAGGTTGCAGCAACTGCTCTTGATGCAGCACTTGATTCTGCACCATAACGTGCCCACTCGAACCCAATAACGAATCATGAAGGGCTTCACCATCACCGCCTTCCGTATGACCGAAATTCGGGTCATAATGCGGCACTTCGACATGCGACCCATCATCCATAGATATCGTGGTTTCCTGTGTGCCTGCGGACTGGGCATTCAAGACTAGGTGCAGGGTTCCGTCGGCAGCTTTGACTATTTGTTGACCGGGTATAAGAGAGACGACGCCCATTCTACCATCCGGAAGTGGGGTGAACGCAACTCGCTGCCCGGACAGAGCATTTGATGCTTCCGGTTCAGCTAAAGCAGAACTCACGACTACTTCGTTTGTGTTTTGCTGATCTGTCTCTAGTTGCGGCTGAACTGGTGATGGCATATCGGGTTTCTGTGGAAAAAAAAAAATACTGTATGAGAAAAAACTAATGATGCACGCTGTTCGAAATTTTGCATTCCCTTTCTTGAGCCTCAAGCAAGCGACGTCTGAATAGGAAACTAGACTTGAAATAACCCGACGTCACCAAAATATAGAAAAAAATGCCCGGTCATTACTTTTTTGCAAATAATAGGAGTTAAAAGTCAGCTTGAAGGGACTCTGACACGCTTATGTTCTTACCAAAAGGACAGTCTTGTTCTGTCGAACAATGAGTCTGGCAGGTGAGCCTGGTTGAGATCCTTGCATGACAAGCCTGGGAATGCTCTTGCCTAATCCAGCTGGTGGCGGACCTCGAATGACCCAGCCTTTCTTATCACCAAGCTGGACGATTCGAGTTGAAGACAGATTCGCAGTCGGAGGTCGGGCAACTTTATTCCCTGTTGAAACATGCGTAACTAGCGGTTGACTCGAACCACAAAGAGACCTCAAATCTAAGCTTTGACAAACCATCTGTCTGATTGACTTTCGACTCGCTCAGGCCTTCTTTTTGCGCAACATTGCGGCAAAATGCCAAAAAGTCGCCTTCACCACCGCTTTCACGCTTTCGCATTTCCATGAGGGCAGGAGAGGTCGAATATTGGGGTTCTCCGCCCAAGCGTTTCCGCTTCAATCGTTGTAGCTTCAAAGTTTCTTCAAACATGGCTGAAAGATATTGAGCGATGGAAGTTTTAGTCCAATTAACGATACGGGAGTGCCCGAATATAGCATAAACTTCATCGAAGTCGCTATTCTTGATTATATAAAACCTTGAGGCACGACAAAGAAACCTCTCCCACGTCAAAATATAAAAAAAAACGAATGAGAAATTCGATTGTGTTCGTCCTGTTAACGACAAGATACACAAGTTAGCTCGAAGTTCCACAGACGTGAAAGAAGAGCTTCTTTCAGCACAGATGGGAAAATGAAATAATTTCATTCATTCGCTTAGGAAACCCTTTGAGGAAAACCGCTCTTCACGCAATACATTTTTTCAATACAGTCAGATCAAGTGGACTTCCTTGGATTTACCGTTCATCTCGGCATTTGGTCGCTTCGTGCCGTCCGGTGCAATTGTGCTGAGGGTCGGAGAACCCGATTCCGTCAAAAGCGATACGTTGGCATCTTTCGAAGCACTTAACACAGCAAGTTTCGCAGCAGATCCAGCCCAGCCCATTTCTTCTCTTCTCTTTTCGTCACGCTCCACTTTGAGAGCATTCTCCTTCTCCAACTTGGCGCGTTTCTCGCCCATCAACAAGGTTTGTTGGTCAATGAAATGCTGTCCCTTCTCTTTCAATTTCAAAAGATGAGATGCCTTCTCCAACCTTGAAGATGAATCAAGCGCACGATTTTAACGTCAAGTTATTTCTTGCAATCGACCGGAAACATATCAGTCTGACCCCTTTTCCTTTCTGCTGAGAAATCTATCTCATACTGCAAGAATCATCATTTCGGGATTCGAAGAACCGGACTGTACTTACCCTTCGTGGAACCGTTTGATCTCCCACAACTCCAACGCATCTTCGAAAACCCAGTCCTCTACAACAGTTGGCGACTGGTTCAGGTTTTCCGTGAGTTGTGAACGGCGAGTTCTTAGACCTAGCCTCGACGGAATTTCTGAAGAAAAAAAATTCTTAGTATTTTCCGAAGAAACGGCAAAAACAGAATACGAAGCTAGGGTACCTCGTACGGATGCTTTCGGAGTATCAACTGGAATGACTACTTTCCGGACGAGATATTGCGTTTTCTCATTGAATTCTCCCGAAGTTCTTTTATCCAGGATCTCTGTTCGAATAATATCGTTGTCATCCGTCATAACCTGCGGAGCAAAAGCTCTCGCATCGGCTGGTGGACGCATCTGCAATAAATACCAGGTTATTCACCGATAATGACAGAACCCTTCGAATTAAAAAGGAACTTACGCTCATCGAATCCCAACGAACGCAAGCCCAAAGAAGCCTGGTCTGTAAGGCAGCCTCGTGCACTGAACGCATTCGTGAACAATGCCAAAGCCATGTTGTTTTGAAGGAGGGCCTCGGGCAAGGATACGGCCAATAATGAAGCGGAAATTGCTAAAAACAAATCAAAAATCATATTTAAAATATCATCTCCTCATGTCCATTCATGATCAAGTCTACTGAACAACAGAACAACCGTCGACAGACCGTCGAGTTAAAACCGCAATAGCTATAATTTTAGCGAAAAGAAGCCATAAACAAAAAATATGTACACTGCAGTTTCCTGTCTGATCCGTCCATCCAGCGAAAATGGTTGCTGTTCAAACAAGTCGTTAATATTATCCTAGATACTTTGAAAACAGAATTTACTCACCTACCCCATATTTTTTCAATAATTTCGGATGAAAAATTAGGTGCGCCTAAAACACCAATGCGAACTGCAGAACATCTGTGACCGACTTCAATATAGAATGTAGACAAGCCTAATCGAAACATAATGACCGAATCTAAGATGGATACAAAATTCGACCCACAAAAGATTCTGTTTAGGCAAAGGAATATCGTTAGGCGATCAGGGTACAGTACAAATAAAAAATCAGGAGACGGGAATACGTCGTCATTTTCCGATAGAAAACCAGAAAAGAAATCTATGAAATATGGTCAACGAAATGAACAAGAATGTTTTTCGCAAGTTGTTCCAACCAAAATATCAAGTACAGTAATTCGAACACATCATAACTCTAACATACAATGCTTGCGGATGTGGTTTTGCTTCCGTCATATTTTTAAATATTTTCAAAGTTTGAATTTGAAGCTAAAATTTTAAATTGATCTACGAAAATATTGCTCCTATCCATATCCTTCAGTTTTCGGCATAATTTTGAATATTGGTCTCCTGTCGAAATAATTTTCAAGAATTGTTAGAATAATGTGTAAGTTTCACATTTAAATAAAAATAGTTTTGTACTGTACATTATAAATACAGTACTGTGCTGTACAACTGAAAAAAATACATACTGTACAAAGTGGTGTAACCTGATTTTGCTAGGAGAACTGAAAAATACACACAACTTCCGATTGACAAATTACCTTCGCACTGTACAAAAATCCTGAGAAGTTGAACTTTCCCTTGCGTCTGGAGCACCTCCGAACTTCGTATTTCGGCGGAAGCAGCAGATTTGACACGGAATTGGCTCCCTTGAATCGAGATGTCAATGGGATCAACGAGTTCGAGATCCCACCCGACGTTTTCTTCTTATCGAGCTTTCGTTTCGCCGGGAACTCGTCAGTCAAAACGTCGGCACGCAAAGTCACTTTAGTTTTACACTGATACACAATGATGTCTTCGGGACCCGGATCAGCGTCGATAATTTTCCGTCGACGCTCCTGACGCTGAGCTTCTCGCACGGCTTGCTCGGCTTTGTTTTTGTCGCGATGTTCTTTGATGACCATTAGGGCTTTCTTTAAATCAGCAAGACGTCTGTGACACTCCATCCGTTTCCTGCATCCGGTCGAGTAGCAAAGCGGAGTCCCAGGCGGAGGTGGAGGAGCAGATTTACCTCTAGGCATTTGACAGTTCGGCGAATAACACGTGAAGTGCAGACTCAGCCATGGATAGGTCTCCTTTCCAAGTTCCAAAATCCTTTGGAAACCCTGAAGGAGTAACGAAGGTTATTTAACCTTCTTTCACTCGCACTAAAACATGCATGAACCTCAATCTAAATTCGTTGAGATTAGAGAAGATCACAGTTCTGAGTTCTGAAGGAGCAGGAATTCAGCAGCGATTTTCACAATTGACAGAATGAACGAGACACCATCAACACGAACACTTTCAACACGAATATTCCGGAAAACGTTAGTTGACCGAATTTTTCATACACGGCTCTTCTTGACAGTCGAAGCAGAAACCATTCAACACTAACTACTTGGCTACTTCGTCAGCAAAGTTCAAATAAGTTCGTTCATGATAGTTCAGAAATCAAGATTAATCTAATTAGCTAGACTGACTCGGGTAGTAACTGCCAGGAATTTCGACAGAGGAAAATCGGTCTTGGACGTTAGAAGTACCAAATCCCATGTTAAACGGAAAAAACGTACCGCTTGGTTGTCTGGACCACTGTTAGAGTCACGCAAAAACTGCAGCGCATCCCGCACTTCATCATCTTCCACTTCAATATCAGGCAAAGGAATCGGCTCATCTTTCCTGGAATCTTCTGCCTCCAACAAGGCAGTGATGGCACTTGGGTCTTTCCGAATGATAAGTCTTTCTACGACTTCGTTCGCCTCCGCCATTTGGAGTCGTCGTGCTGACAATAAACCATCCAACACGCCAGTCCTCCCATATTTTGGATACAGCGAACGTCGCTCCGCGTTTTCTGCATCTACCCCGCCTTCGGGAAGTTCGTCACTTAAAGCGGCGCTGACGTCGACGATACCCAGCAGGCTTGGATTCACGGGCGGCAACAATGTGATCAACTTCTCTCGGGTCACTGGATCAGTATCAAACGAATCATTATTTATACTCACCAACGAAAAAATATTTTTCGATATTCAAAAGATTAAAAATGCAGAGGAAATAATTTTGCGTAGGGGAACTCCATGGAATACTTTATAAGCAAAGACCCCACGAATTTCCAAGGCCAACGTAAATTTCCTAATTGGCGTGTAAAACGAATTACTGTCTCCAATTAAGTCACCAGAGAAAATAGCATTCGAAACATCACTTACGTGAACTTTCGAGCGATTTTGCTTTCAAGATTCCATGGGCAGATTCTTCCTTTTCTGCTTCATCATCTTCCGGACTGAAAATATCACCGATGTCATCCATGGCATCGTCAGGCAGTCTTGATGCCGGGGGAAGAATCAGGGCGTCAGGAAATCGTGCCAAGCGTTTCTCAATTTCATCTGTGGTAACACACTCGAGTCCTACAAGAAAAAGAAAAAATAATTACATTTCTTTCTTTCAAATTCACAGCAGTAATATGCAGTATATACCTCCAGACGTCTGCACAATGCACTTGTGTGGCCCTTTACGCAAACCGCAAGTGCGGGCATCCAATGATCGCTTCATCCGAGATTTGGAAACCCAACACCAGCCTCCATTTCCGTGTACTCGATAATCTTCGCCTTTGAGTCTTGCAACTTGATGCTTCAATCCCAACGTGTACTTGACGTAAGTTCCTTGTATCTTGCTGAACTCCTCCATGGCCTCCCGTGCTCTGGCTTCTTTTTTCTCCCGTTTCTTTTGCTGCTCACGATCAGTGACGGTTTCCATCACGAGTCTAAAATGAATTCAAGATACCAAGTCAAAACTTTTTTAAACGAAACCATGCGTTCACTTATCACTTTCAGTTGGAAGACTGCGTTTCTAAAATAAATTTCTTTTTCATAAAATCAGCACCAGCATAATATTCCGGCACCTCTGATGATATACAGACATCGCCCGAAAACTAAGCCATAGGTCACAGGCGTTAGAAATAATTTCGNAATAGTCGGCAAAATAAGGTGAATTACCCGACAAAAGACTGATGCCATTCGTCCTGCGTGAATGGCATATGATGAAAAGTTTTAGTAAAAATTTAAATTTCCAACATTCTTTGTTCGACAATTACGAACTAAAAGTCCTTCTTCACCCATTTGATTTAGATTTTTCAACTGTCAAATAAGGAGTACTAATTCTAAAAAAATGCACGATTTCTCATGTCCAGAGCCATTCCTGGTTTTCGTAATCTATTGAATTCTGTCCACAACTACTGTATCTCCTTCACTCGAACCTGGGGCATTTTAGTTCAGGGTTACAGTTTTTCATACTCTACCCACTAGTGCTTGATTTTTTTCCTTCTGAAAATCATCAGCTTAATACATCCCTTCTCTCGTTATAACTGGGATAATTACAAGATTTTACAAGTACCTACTCACACCAAACTTCGCTTTATTTTCTCGGCAATACTCCTTAACACCAGGCAGGTTCCCAAGCACGGGTTGAAAAATCCTACAGTTAGAGTCATTGCAGTCTTTCAATACAGCATTACTGCATTAGAGAACATAACCTGCCATGATTTCGGTGAAACACGACAAAAATAGATACTCGAGATGATTTAGAAGGAAGCTGGACTTTCGCACGAGTATAAGGAAAACACCAGAGTATAAGAACATTACGATGTCTACGCACCTCGTGTGACCACCACCCTCGTTCCAAACTGACATCAAAACGGGGGTTTTGACGCATTGTGCCAATACAGTGAGCGTAAGACGAAAGTGAGACACTGCATTAGCATCTCGAATCAGCTTATTCCAGGTTGGATGAACCTTAGGCCAGTTCGGAATTACAAACGGATCTGCAATCTGCTGCTGAAGATTCAGGACGGTTTGTCGAAGCGTCTGAATTGACATGTTTTCCGATCCTGCAAAAACAAGAAAATAAGCGTTAACCGGAGTTTGCGGTGCTTAAAATTGACTTACCATTGACAACGCCGGTCCATTCGAATTCTTTCGCCTGGTTCAGGGCAAATTTACGAGCTAACTGAGTGCGACGATCTTTTTCTTCTTGATGTTGCTGTTTGCTCAATGCCAGAGGATTCGAGGTGTACTGGTTGATGTAGTGCTTATGATTTCCTTCCATTCCTAATTTGTAAGGGCCGCCTGCAAAACCAAATACTGCATCGAGATTTGCACAGAAGTTACGTTTCTGAACAATTGGTAGCTCGAGTCGAGGCAGACCCAAAAAATTCTAGGAAAACAAACGCTCGTGGAACACGCGGCTCTCAAATGGAAAAAAGCCTATATGCTGAGACTTACTGCCAAGTTTTGGTCTGGATAAGTCAACTCGTTGAGAAGATGGTTTACTAGAAGACTTTCCATCTTCAACGGCATATTTTGTTGGCATGATAGTTCCAGTTTTTATCCTTGTCAGCATTCCGCCTACTTTCGGAATCTCGGCGGATTTCACGCCTTGCGCACTTGGTTCAACTGCAGAAGTATCAAGCTAAAGAATCGAAATCATCAACACGACATAATGAACATACCTCGGCTAGAAACTCCCTCAGACGACTGGCCCTCCCCGGACTGAAACGGAAAAAAAAAGAGGAGATAAAGAAAATGCAACTGAAATCATAATTCATTTAGTACCTCTTGAGAAAACACGTTCAGTTCCTCAAGCTGCGCTGCAGCTAAAACTTGCTCTGCTTCCATTGCTTCAGCTGCCTTCGCTGCAGCTTGCTGAGCTTTCTCCTCAGCCGCCTTTTCCGCAACATACTTGAGATCTTCTATACGCTTTTTAGATTCGTCTGAAAGGCATGCATGTGAAAAACGAAAATTTTCGAAGATGTAATGCACACACTAACCGATTTCCAAGTTCAAATAAACTTGCTTCCCGTGAACTTTGTGACGTTCCGTGATTTCAAAAGTGATTCTCATCTGCTCTCGCAGAGTTTCATTAACAGTAATAATTCTTTCGCACAACTGTGCTTCAAGATCATCAGGGTCGACAACATACAAAAGCTCGTCCAGTTGGGTCTCAGTCGAGTAATACCAAACTTCACCAGTGGATTCATTCTCTCTGCAAGATATTATCAATGAAGCACGAATTGCATGAAAGCAAAATTTCGAAAAACTCACACCAACAAACGCCGGCACAGGAACCAATACTTCCTCCCATGACGATCGTAGCCGAGAGGCTCTTGACGAATGGATAGTCGATCTCCAAGGCTCACGCAATCAGTTACGCCGGCAACCTTCAAATCGAACAGCCGCTGTTATCCGAATGTCAATAATACAGTGCTTCATAAGATATACGTACCTTCTCTGCGACACAGATGGGACATTGCCACGACTCTGTCGGAACGTCAAGTAGCGGTGGTTGAGAACACCCCAGGTGATAAACGGCAGTGCAAGTATCACAGCACAACAATTCCCCCAATGTTTGACATCCTCGACAATGATCCTCATGCGGAATTTTGCCATCGTAATTATTAACTTGATCTCGAACGGAATTTGATAGCATGAGCTCATCTACCAATGCTTCCAGAACTACCAAACGATCTTCAGCTTCACAATAAGGATAATTCTTTTCGGTTACTATGTGAAGGGCATCCATGAACTTTGAATGGCTTTCGAAGTAGGACTTCAGCACTGCGGGCCACGTCATGCAATCCAAGAAGAAGAAATCTATGTTGATGACGTCTCTGAGATCGGGTGCACCAAACGTAACTGCTTGCTGGTCACAATTCCTTAGGATTGCCTTAAGCAATTGCATATGCATTTCAGAAAGAAGTGTGCTCTGCTCTTCTGCAGCTAAAGCCGCACAAAAATCTTCAAATCTGAATGGTGATAACCGGAAGGCCCTGCTGAAATGCATGATCAGTTCGTAGACAGACAATGCACGCAAGACAAGCGGGGTTTCGATAAGCAGGTCTTCAGAAGACGGCGGCAGTACCAAGACAGGGAGATCAGGACGATCTTGAAGCCAAACAGGTAAGGGAGACGGCGATCGTGAGACTAATCCGGGGGATGCACTTCCCACTTCGCTGACATTGTCAAGAAAGTCTTCATCCAAACCGAGGGAATCCGAGTCGGATTCGGAATCAAGGTACTCCCGAGTTTCAACATCTTCGTCATACTCGTCCGACATGAAATAGCCATCATAGTCCTCATTGTCGCTCGGTGGCTTGGAACGGGGATGAGACTGGCTCCCACCACGAGGTCTATCAGACTTTCCTCGAGCAATGCCGGATTTTCTTCCGCGAACACTTATTCCACTGCCACGAGACCTTCCTCTTCCCCGGCCACGACCTCTACCACGAGGAGTTTTCGCAACACCAGACAACGGCGTGAACCCATCGCCATCAAAAATCCGCCGTGATCGACGGATTCTTCCAGACCCGGGCTTGGGACCTGGTGTCACGCTTGACATGCTCGTGGGCACGGAGCTCCGGAAATCAGTTCCGGTAAATCGGCACTACCTTTTGATTCACACAGATTTTGCGCCCAATTTTGTGTTTCGGAACTTACGCCATCATGGAAATATGGTTTCCTCCAAGGAACCAAGCACTAACAATGCACACCTAAGGGAGAATCAAGAGACCCGCCATGTCACTTTTCTCCTCATTCAATCACATGACCGGTAATCGCCGGCTCTGTGGAAGACAACCCTCAGTAAAACATAAACCACATATGCGCTAATAAATTGTACTGAATTCTCTAGAAACTCGCCAAGAATGCTCCTTCGAAGTGGAAAACACGCGCAATACAGACGAGCTCAGTTCCAATGCTTCGACAAAATGGCGGTTTAAAAGCGCATACGAAACGCAGACATGCTTCCAGCATTTCCTGGCAACCAACGGAGGGAGCGCAAAGAGAGCACATTGTAGGACAGGCGAGGCAACGACAGACACGGCAGAGGGAGCGGCTTATGAACCAGGGGGACGTCCACATCCGCGGTGGTCCTTTCCGCGGAGGCAATTCCGCGGATATGAACACAAATCCCCGGCCCTTATATTCTTCCGGTGTAAAAGGAATTTCCCATCCATTTTCAAATCAGTATTCACTTCTATCAAAATAGATACAGTACAGTATACGATTGCGCTGAAATGCATTTTCACCAGGGGCTTTCCTTGATGCTAGCTGATTTGACAGCACAAATGGGGGCACATGCAGCAGTTCATTGTGTTATTGGAGATGAGTTAATAATGAATTCATGATGCATATTAAAAGTTCGTCATGTTTTGTTCTTCAGATACATTCATTCAATCACAAGTATGTCAAGCATTTTTGTGACATTGCGCTGTGTATCAAAAATTTGCCATCATTAAAAATATTAAACATATTAAACGGTATGTAATATGGCTGTTAGGCAAGCATGCCATCATTGATGTATACTCTCTCAATATTTGCTAGAGTTTCATCCCCAACTCAAAAGAAAATGGTAAAACCTAATGAAGGTTAATTATTAAATGATGAGCTATATAGTTGAGTCAAGAGAGAAGAATAGGTATGTAGAGAATTATTCCAGGTCAATCCAGCAGTTGAAGCAAGAGTTCACTGAGTAGTTATTATGCTGTGTGAAATACACTTTATCCTTAACCCAGGAATTCCAAGAAGGAATTCTGACCCCTGTCCTGGGCTCATTATCATCTCTTATTTTTGCTGATTTTCTCTTTTTGATTCAGCTTGAATATTATACCAACTTATATTGAGGCAACATATGTCCCCAATATAAATTTAATACAGTATATATTAATGGCAATGTACATGAGCAAAGGAAATTTACCAAACTGAAGGAAATCCTGTTAATTGCAGCAATTCCAAGGACATCAAAGGTTTAAAGCTTGGGCAACACTAAAGTTATTTGATTCTTATATAATCACACTCTTATTTTCAAATGTTCATTTAGCTATGCTTTTATTGAGTGATTTCCTGGAAAGAAATTGATTTCAGCAGCAAGACATTCACAATAATAATGTAGAATTGTAGATGATCATGATAACTTTATACTAGCTGTCATGATCACCAGCAGTTTTGTGGTGTTTTCTTTTTCAATAAGGGCAAATAAATCATGAATGATTCATGAGTACAATATACTGTATGCTTTTAAAAATCTGCTGCAATGGAATTCCTCTGCATGTGGACTGGCTCTGCCATAACATATTGTGACCATAAAACATTTTAAACCTCTGTTTTTCTGACGAAATATATGTGCCTACATTTGTATAAATTCTAGAAATTAACCAGGTAGAGTAATAAATTGCAGTTATCCTGACTATTTTGAACTGTTCACTTTTTGGAATTCTCAAATCTTAGTACTGTATGAGTAGGCAAACCATGCCCTCTCTTTTTCACTCATTTCATTGAAAAGTAAAATGTTGAAGTTGTACCTCAGATGAGCTGCAAAGGCGCGGGTATCCTTATGACACATGTCTCTTGTATTTAAAGTGTGTTATTAGAGAAATCCCCTTCATAGTTATATGAGCTTAAAAACTTGAAAAAATTATTATGTTTAAACTTAAAAAGTGAAAATAATCTACCTACAGCATACAGTACTGTACTTTACACACGATTCCGTATCCATTTGAAGCAGTTTGGCAAACTTGAACCACCACGGTAAAAAATGCATCTGATTTGTTGGACGGCTGCTGTCCTAGACGAGTTTATCTGCATTTGTCTTTGAGTGCCATCTAGCGGACAAGATTGCAGTTAATCGCTTTGTCATCGGGACGAGGTACAGACTGAATGAATCGCTGATAATCCAGACTGCTGATCGGGACCGGACTCGATGCGGAGCTTGTAAGAAAATTACGGCATAATGGCGGATGTAACCATATAAAGGATTTTTTGCATTATAGCAGAATCTTCACCATCCATCCGTTTTTCCTCAAGCATCGCGTTGAAAGAAAGCAAAGGGAGCGTTTCCATTGTCCATACACTTTTGTCTTCGTATACAGCACCGATCCCATGATCATCGTCGAAGTTAAGCTTGCAGGTTGTCTAAATACTGTAAACACTGTAAATACTGTCCTAATACTGTAAAAAACCAGACGAGGAAAGACAGCAAACCCGGGATATGCATAGAGACACACCTCGCAATTAATATCGCAGTACAGTACATCCAAATTTTAAAATAAATTCTCAAATCAGATTACCACCGACGACGGCTAACGCAAATATTTGTCAGTTTAATCTGATGCGGCAACAATGATGTGACCAGAGATCGACCGCGAATAATAAAATCAGCAGCACTGCAGCAGTTACCTCTATTATGGGTGAAGCTACATGTTAACATCAACATTTATACAGTAGTTACTCCTCATGCAATTATCTGTAAATATAATGATGGAGGGAAGGAAAATTTATTGGGAGGGACATAGCCCCCCAATTGAAACCCAGAACAGACCACATCCGATTTTTCGAAGCACTTGGTCAAGTACTGTACAGTGACATTGAATTTCCGCGGATTCGGCAGTGCCCGCCACCGATGAACAGTTGGCTCAGTTTACAATCCATACACGCTATATCTTGCCGAACCGCGGACACATAGTTCACTGCATTTGATATTATATTATGTAGAGGTCGCCGTCTACTCAATCTTCTTTCCTTTCTCCCTAGTGACTTTCTTCGTCTCAGAGCTGAGGAATACTTGTACAGTACTGTATATACAGGATGAGTACTTGCAGTAACTGCGAGTCTCATATATGGAAGTCAGTACTCAGTAGTAGAAGCACCGACCTGTCCCGAATTGGAAATTTCTCAGCCGCAGAAACTGCCGATACCCTCATCGCACAATCTCCCAGCAGTGTACTGATGCATGTACAGTATATATGTAGGACAGCAGTATTTTGCTTTATATGATTTCCATCACGTACTGCACGTCCGATACATAAAATCTAATCAATACATTGGAGTATACAGTATAACATTCCGAAGCTAATGCAATTGGATAAATTATGCGGACATTGATCAACGAGGTTTTCGACACATATATCATGTGCATGCAGTATAAGTTTGAGAGATTTGGGGCGCTTATTGAAAATTTTTCAGCAGAATTTCTTCATATATACAGTACACGTGACTTGAAAAATTATGGTGGCTCATTCTGCTACATTTCATGGATGCATAACTTTCAACTTTATTACCAGCATAAGAGGCTGAGATCTTATTAATTGATCTTAGAAAAATAAAGGCCAGTTTGAATACAATTTCAGTATCAGCTGGACGTGCTTATTAAGTTATTATGCTGTATACAGCAATTGCATAGTAAATTAATGTGCTTTCTATTATTTTTTAAAAACGAATCTACACAATTACTGTACTGTGCTTTTCTCGACTGCAGAAAAACGGTACTCCTTATAAAATATATACATAGTTCCAATAAAAAATGTTGATAATAATGCTTCTGCGTCGTGATGAAGGTCGAGTGTTATACGATCCTTACACCATTTGAGAGCTGAAGACATTTATATACTGTACGATTCCACATCGTGTTCGGTATAACTTGATTTTTTCGACTTAAATTCAATGACATATGAATTCTGAATTGACTATACAACTAGATTCTTGCTTCAGCTTGAGCTGCTATCTGGATATTTGATGATTTCACTTATTTTTCTGATTATGTATGTGCTGTACTATAAAATGCTTTTTTGTTCCAAATGAAAAGGATAGTTTTCAGTTTCATTTGAGTTAAATTTTTATTCTCAAAGCGAGAGATGACACAATAATAGCTGATGTACAGTATTTGAAATTACGTTGTATAGACATCCTACGTTTATAGTTTCTATACTCTAACAAGACTTTAAAAACTGCTCAAGGTAGGAATAAGTACAGTACACTACTGCTACATTGATATTTTATACCTATGTCACATTATTTTCTCATGTATACTGCACGATGAACACTCGTATAAATAATATCACGGCGCAAAATGCAAATTTTAATATTCCCAAAGAAAACTTTAGAAATTGCTCGTACAGTATATGCAATATATGGGCCATGGACAGACACAGCGCTGACCAATACAATACCGTATTTCAAGGTACACTATAATAACCCAGTTGATTCAAGCTAATTATTGCATGGAAAAATCATATTATACAGTACCATTATAGAGAGACGATTTTTCAACAATATTATCCAGTATATCCCTCTGTAAAGTCTACATATGGCATTATGCTGAGACCAGAAAAAAAATTTTGCTTTGAGATTATCTGAATACAGAAAATCGCTCTAGAATGCCATTCCTGTATATCGAGTACTGTACTGTATTGAGAAGGAGATTCAAACAAGCTGCTGCCTCCAGCAGCAGAAGGTTGCCATCATCCCCACCGGTATAGCGGACGTCTCTCTATTTGTACCGTACAAAGAATCAAAACTGCTCCCTCCCTGCCGGGAATTCGTTGGCGTCGGTGTAGACCGCACAGC